ATCATTCTCTTTATCTTAACGAAATAGTAGTAATTCAGACTGTGTCTGAAATAATTTCTAACATACAAACTGTGTTAGAAATTATTTCATATCGATGGCCTAGAGGCAAAACCTTGTAAGTACCAAAAATTCAAAATCAGGTTTTGGCGCCGCAATACTTATTTTGCTATATACTTTTCTACCAATCACCAAAATTACAGACGTGCAAAGCAATAAATATCGTACTTTGGACCACGTGCCAATCATTATCATCAGCCTCTCTCAATCCACTGCTGGACATAGGCCTCCACTGTTTGTCTCCAAAGTGTTCTATCTTGTTTTTGCTGTATCCAGTTTTTTGTTCTTACGTAAGTCGTCTTGCCATCGTGTTGGTGGTCTTCCTCTCCTATTTTCTTGAATCAGCAATGATACCATTTTCACCAGGTGCTTTGTTGTCTGTTAAGTTTGTTATGCTCTCTATAATTTCTTTCTTGGTAGGTACTTTTTCATGTACATCTGGGTCCCTTACTTCTTCATGTTGTAGTTGCGTTTGTTCTCTTTCATCTTGGTCGTCCGTACATAATATGTTTTTGAAATAATTGGCCCACCTTCTTAATTTTACATCTGTTCCACCTAACAGATTTAATAAAAAGTAGGAACCTTTTAAATTCGCAGCTAAATTGTGTTTAATAATTAAGAAACGTAATTACATAGTCCCATTTTAAAGATAAAAGAGTTATGGTTTCATTATACAAATTTTAAAGTTAAAACTTAAACAGTAAAAAATTCAAAATATTGTAAATTTATTTATCTTCGTTTTTATTTGATGGATTTTGTAGTTATTGAAGTACTTTTTACGTATATTTCCAATATGCAATATTTTAATAATATTATGGATAAGTAAACAATGTAATTTGTCTCAACAATTAAAAATATATTTTTTTCCTAAAAAATTTTTTATCGTATTTTAATTGATTTTCTATTATATAATAAAACAAGTCTTTCACATCAAAATGTATTTCTTAATAATTATAAACTAATTAGCTGCGATTAAAAAAAGTATACCTACTATAATCGTCCCAGAATATCTTATTTCATTAAATTCGTGTAAAAATTGTCAGCTTTTCAAATATGAAAAAAATATTTCGTCTAAGAGTAATAGTTTCAAAGTTATTCTGATTGTTTATAAGTTAAAAATAACAGTAACTTTGCAAAACGATTTGTGGTTATAAAAACGACTTTTTTTGATGAACATAAAATAGTCAAAATGAGTGAAAAGGGAAACTCGTTACTTGTGTTGTACGGTAAATAAATGTAACGCAAAATTGTTGACGCTAGGTGTAGATAATACAAATTTCCGAAATAAAACAGTGCACAATCATGAAAATGATATAAAGAAATTAAATAGACAAATTTTGAGTACGGCAAGCAAACGGAAAGCCATAGAAGATATCACATAGCGGCCATCAAAAATTATCCATTTTGTAATAAGGGAAAACAGTGATGCTATGAATTCTTTAACAAGAACAGACATTACCTACGTAAGAAATAATATATGTATTACAAGAGACGTCAAATCCAACCGCGTTTACCAACCTGTATTTGCGATGCGTTAAATATTTTACAAACATTAAATTAAAAAAAAAATAATAAAAAATGAACCGTTTCTCTTGGAGACTGATCATATTAACAATATTGTGGTATTTTCGTGTGACACTAATTTAAAATATATATGTAATTGCGACAAAGTGTATCTTGATGGAACTTTTCGATATTGTACGAAATATTTTTTACAATTGTTCACACTTCATGTTGTAGAAAACGGGCATAATATACCTGTGGGCTTTTACTTATTACCGAATAAACTTCGGTCAACATATGAAAAACTTTTTGTTATTCTTAAAGAAAAGTGTCGCAATTCTAATTTAATATTTGCTCCAAAAATTATTGTAGCTGATTATGAATTAGCTATTCATAAAGCAATTTCTGCAAAGATCGTTGGATGCAGGTTTCGTCTTGGCTAAAAAATATCAAGGTGGAAAAAGTGAAGGTGGTTGAGGTATCTTTTGGACTAAAATGGATTGGATTGGATAAAATATTATTTCTTAAATAGGCAATAAATATCTACGATTATTGGGATTCGTATTTTTAATAATATTTTATACCTGAGTATAACGATTTCCTTATCAGAAGTCTTGGTCCTCAATTCGTGAGATTTTTTCAGGTATAAAAGTCAACCCTTACTTAAAATTTCATTCTCAATTCGTGTCTGCCTAAAAAAATGACCTCTGGAATAAACAATTTGAATAACCTTTAAACTAATTAATGGATTCAGCTCAAATTTAGAGGGTATATTAAGCACTATAATAACCCCTTTTAGAGCAATCACGAAAATGAAGTTAATTTTTACAAAAGTTAACGATTTTGGGGCAACAAATTAATTAAAAAAAATTATGTAGTTTATCTGTTAACAACTAAGCAAAAATTAGAAAAAAATCTCATTTTTACTTATTTGTTAATAAATAAAAACCAACATCAATTAGTTATTAACGGAAAAACTCGAAAATATCTTGCTTATAATAGTGCACAGGGTTAAATTTTACTATTTTTCTAGATTATATATTTTCAGAATATTATGAAAGGTTGATTTTGTAAATTAAAAATTGTACGTTTAAATAGTAAGAGAATATAATAGTTACTTGAGTTTACGAAGTTAATGACAATCAAAATTTGTTGTATCATAACAACTTTTAATTAATGGACAATTATAATTGTTGAATTATAACATTTCGCTGTAGGGACACGTGAAGAAGTATGATTTCTACATATTCTTGCCGTCCTTTTTGGACCGTCTTCAAGAATTTCAATTTAACTATCCTTGCACACTCATTGAATAAAATATTGTATGTGATAATTTGACCTTGGTGGCGTTATGACATTAAAAATTCTCTTCGTAGCGACTACTACTACTATTTTTCTTCTTAATTGATTAATTATTCATTAATTTAATAAGAATTCCAGCGGCTGGTCAATTTAATAGCTATGCTAGACTCATATAATTTCCTTGCGGTAATTTCTTAGATCTTTTAAATAATGAGTTAAAACTAATAAACAAATATTCATGTATACAATGTGTTGAATTATATTAAAAGAATGTTAATTGTGCAGGTGTACAGGTAGATAAGTTGGGAAATTGGAACTTCTATGAAAAACACCACATAATTGTAAAATAAAATATTTGGTTGTTGTTTTATGATGAAAATTGTTATATTTAATTGTATATTAAAACCGCCCCAGGAACGCACATCTAAGCAGAAACTGTTGGAGCTTCTTTGAAAAACACCACATAAATTTGTAAAATAAAAAATTTGATTGTTATTTTACCATAAAGATTGTTATATTTAATTGTAGGTATATTAAAATCGTCCCAGGAACGCACATCTCAGCATAAACTAAGATGTTGGATTATTTTAAAACTGCCCCTTGTACGCAACCTTTGTCTATATTTTAATCAAGTACTGAAGACTTTCGCAATCCGTTTGTTTGAAATCGAACATTATAACTTAGAAACTGTACATCCGATTTCAACCAAACTTGGTGAACAGATTAATACGATTCTAAAAATAAATTCAAACGGTTTTGGTCCCAAGTGTTAATAAATACCCCGGGGATGGATCAGAGGTTAACCAATTTTGTAATGTAAATATGGCAAGCGATCCATCAATATGATACATTTATATGAAACTCTAAATAAAAGTTACTTTAAATATGAACAACGAAGATGAAATGGTTCAGGGGAGCGGTGATAATCTAATAACATCGATATAAACCTGTTGCTTACTTTTGGACGTAGACAAACACAAAAGTGTATTTCACTTTTTTATCCCGTTTTGGGACGGACCGCAGGTAATCTTTGTTATACAAAGCTTCAAGTTTTGTAGCAGCAAATGCGGATTTTTCAAAAAATCGATTAAACTTGTCCAAAATTTCTGATAGAACTCTTTGGCTAAGGTGGATCGTATAAAGCGATACCAAAATATCATCATAGGTACCATTAATTGTTTCCTGTTACATGCGATTTTTACTTTTGATTAAAGAGTGGTTAAACCATTACCGATTCTTATTTTCAGTTAGAAATAGTAACAAAAATTACCAGAAAATTAATTATTATAAAAACATAATGCAGTCGTCGATGTGGGTACAGAAAATAAGTGTTTGGAATTGAAAATTTTAAAGACATATATGTTAGACGTAAAATATATATTAGATATAAAATACATATAAGTGAAGAACGGCAAGATGAAGACATGTACCCAACGAATATATAGTTGGTATAACGTTGGAACATTTACATGGGCATATAAAATATGTAAGATATAATTATTACTAAGGATGTATATATACACAAAATGAGGGTAAAATGCATATTATATATAGCTATATATGAAATAAATGCAAGAAAAAGAAAGGTAACCAACTGATAAACAGAGAACTAAAGAGACAAAATATAAAATAAGAAGTGAACTATGAACTCATAACACACAAAACAGCAAAATCAGAAGCGACAAAGATTAACTATTGGAGAAAATTAAAAATCAGAAGTTAGAGAGGAGGTGTAAATAGAGATTAACTGATTATACCTGATACTAAAATTGTGTGTTGGATATTGTTTTATGCTATTAGAATTTGAAAATAAATCTATAGTTATTAAGTTGAATTTAAGTTTAAAAAAAGCTTGCGTCCTTTTGACATAATTTTCTTATAAACATAATTTCCTTTTTCCTTTATTGTTTTAAAATATCTTTCTTATTTTTAAAGCATACATACTATTAGAACTATATAAATTATAATTATAAATATGAAAGACATTTTAGTTTCCGCAGAAATAAATAATTATTGTAATATGTATAAAAAATGTGGAGCTTAAGGCTTCCTTGTATGTACGAGTATAGACAATATCTTGTCGAATAAAAGAATAAGAACAACTTCTAAAAATATGTAGGCTTATCGCCTTTACGTACTTTTAAATCGCAGCCCACAATTATTGTCGTTCATCAATTCGAAAAAATCCAACACAATTCACCAACGTCGAATTCCATCGTTAACTTTCACTGAAGACCGCTACACCATACCATACGTACTGCTAACACACGTCACCCGATATATCAAGGTATCAACGCCCTAAAGTGTTCGAAAGGAACAACACCTGATCATTAAAAAACAACATCTTTCGAATAATCTACCCGGTGTCAGTATTTCCACTGTTTTAACAGAACACTGTCTGTGGAAATTGAAAAATATATTAAAAGCCGAACCGAACGAATCTAGCGGTTGAAGTAGGTAGGCACTCTGCTTCGCGGCCTGGACGTTTTATGAATGAACGTCTCTCTATTCAATGAATGAATCACCTTGAACGGCTCAACGTAGTATTTTACAACTGGAGGGGCAACGTTATCGCAGGAGAGAGAGGAGAAGGTGTTGAATTATTTAGTTCGTCGAAGTTGACTATTCCGTCCGTATTTTTGGAGTATAAAATTGTTTTTTAATAAAAAATTAATGTTTGTTGCACAACAAACAACTTTAGTCATTTTGTAGATATTAGGTGTTAATTACTAATTTTTCAGGGAGGCGACGATTTAAAATTTTCTCGTTCTCACAATATTATGAGACTCAAAATGAGGCCTATGTAAGTAATAGAAAACTAGGAACAAAAAGATACCGGTTAAAGGTATTATAAATGATAGATGTTAAAACAAAATTTAACAAAAACTTAAAGTACCTATAACAACTCCCGATTAAAGATAATTATATAGACATAAAAGAGATATCTACACATCATAGTCCAAGTCATTAGTGCGTTATATATAGTGCAGCCACGGCTGTGAACATTCATTCCTGATTTATTATTGTTATTGTATACGTGTTTTGATTCGTTATTTAACCATTGTATTTAGTTAATTTTAAATAAATTGTTTTTAAAAACGCGAGTCTGAAAACGAGTTATTTAATTGGCGCAGTCAGTAGGATACCTGAAGGTTGCAGCAGATTCCAGTTAATTGCAGTACAACCGTTGGTGTCCACCATTTATCCGGAGAACCTACAATAAACAAGTAAGTTACTGAGAATTTTCCTTACTTCTTATTTTCCTTTATATTTTGAAAATTATTACCAGTTTTATTTTATTTTTACCATTTGTCAGAGATTGTAATAAATCTTCTTCATTTGAGTAATTTTAAAAACATTTTTTATGCAAAGTGATATTGATAATTTAATTTGTAACTTAAACAAAATGGCATTAAATAACACACCCACAATTCAAGCGGCAAAAGCTCTCGCTGACTTTTTACCCACATTTAATGGGGATCCGTTAAAATTGGAAAGCTTTATCCAAAGATGCGACCAGTATTATCGCACTTATGGACAGACAACGGATAATACCTTGAACGATTTTACATATAATGTATTATGTTCGAAGTTACAAGACAACGTATTAAACTTCGTAATGTGTAGACCAGATTTAAATACCTGGCCATTGATTCGAAGTACATTGAGAAATAACTTCGGCGACAGGATCGACAGGCAAACATTGAATAAAGAATTCCTACAAACAACAAAATACAAAAACGAAAATATTATAGACTTTTTAGCAAGAATATCGCAACTCAAATCAAGATTGGAAATTAAAATAAATTCAGAAACGAATTTAAGTGCTGAACGGAAAACGATATTAATGGAACAAAATGAAGCAAATTCCATAGACATTATACTTGCAAACGTAGATGAGAAAGCTAGAACGATTCTTGAAATAAAGGAACCGAAATCGTTTATAGAAGCATCCGACATATTAAATAGACAATTTTATAATGACCAAAGAGTCGATTCAATAAACTTTTCAAATAAATTTAAAGGAAAACCTCAATTTCAAAATTCAAAATCAAATAATCAAATAAGTTATAACCAACAACACCGCAATCTTAATCCAAACTTTAATCATCGCTATAACACACGTTATTCATCTAATTCTAATTATTCAAATCACCATGAACAAAATAATCATTTCAATCAGCCTAATACATCAAGGCAAACCTTTTCCAATTACAACCAATCTAATCCTAATCGTCATTTCAATCAACCAAGTACATCAAAACAAAATTTTCCAAGCCAACCGATAAAAATTCAATCTAGACCTATTCAAACTAAATATTTTACAAACGAACAAGTTTTTGGGAAACCAAAAAATGTATTTGATCCCAGGAATGTCCCAAAAAATACATTCTCACCGGAACCAATGTCAACGACATCTAGAATCTCTTCCGGAAAACAAAAATTTCCCTTTATTCAGAGAGGCCCTCCAAATTTCCAATTCGAAGAACTTTATCAAGTAGAAGACGAAAATGAAGATAACCAATATTGTGATGCATATAATCACCTTCCAAATCCCCAAACAGACTCTGTAAACATAAATGAAAATTTTCAAGAGGATCGTCACGAAAATCCCGACGATTAACCCAACACATTGATCTAAATAATACAATTCCCAATTCTCTCCCATACATTCAATTAAACTTTCCAACTCCCATTAAATTACTAATTGACACAGGCTGTCACCCATCTCTCCTAAGACCCTACATTGCCGAAAAATACTTTTCAGAAAAAATCACAAGACACACAACTCCGATTATTACGTGTGCAGGATCCCGAGAATCCCAATTCAAAGCCAAAATCCCCCTTTTGCAAGAATTTCACATATCCGAACCTCTCGACTTTGTCTTATTTGATTTCCATAATTATTTTGACGGTATATTAGGAATACGAGACCTTCGAAAATTACACTTAAATTTAGATTTAAATCGCCAAATCCTTTTTAATCGAAACTCAGAGATCCCTCTTAATTATAGAAAAGATTTTAATAGTCAAAAGATAGAAATTCCACCTTTTTCGTCTGTAATAAAAAATATACAGACATCATTACCAGATGGAGATATCTTTCTTAACGACATTGTTAATGAAACAAAAACAATAAAAATCCCATCAAGTTTAGTTCATGTTGAAAACGGACGTGTAAAAATTGAATTTGTTAATAAAACATTCCACACACAACTAATTAATATCGATAACAACTTTCTAAATAATTTTGCGGAAAATTTTGATACAAGAAATTTTAATTGCTTTTCAATGGAAGAAATTATGAACATTACTATAAACGATACAATTAACACTAAGGACCGGAAAATAACTTTGGAAAATTTTAGACAAGATCATTTGAATCTTGAAGAAAAACATGCACTGAAATTATTAGTAGAAGAATACCAAGATATTTTTCATAACCCTGAAGACAAATTGACCTTCACAAATCAAGTAAAACACAGCATTAATACCACCGATGAAATTCCAGTATATTCAAAATCATACAGATACCCCCACATACATAAGGAGGAGATAAGAAAACAAATCAATAAAATGCTAGAAGATGGAATAATCAGACCATCACAGAGTCCGTGGAGTTCTCCCATTTGGATTGTTCCAAAGAAATTAGACGCTTCAGGAAGACAAAAATGGCGAATCGTGGTAGACTATAGAAAAATAAATGAAAAAACTGTTGACGATCGCTACCCATTACCTTCCATTCAGGATATACTAGATAAACTTGGCAGATGCCAATATTTTACTACAATTGACTTAGCTTCTGGATTTACACAGATAGAAATGGAGAAAGAGTCTATTCCTAAGACAGCTTTCAATGTCGAAAATGGCCACTATGAATATCTTCGTATGCCATTTGGCCTTAAAAATGCACCTGCAACGTTTCAACGAGTAATGGATAACATACTCAAAGATATTTTAAATAAAATTTGTTTTGTATATATGGATGACATAATAATATTCTCCACTTCACTTCAAGAACACATAAGTAATATAAAACAAGTCTTTAAGAGATTGAGAGAAGCTGGTTTAAAGATACAATTAGACAAATCAGAATTCTTTTGCAAAGATGTAGAATTTTTAGGACACGTCATTACGCCAGAAGGCATTAAACCTAATCCGAAAAAGGTAAATGCAATAAAAAAATTTCCCATCCCAAAAACTGCCAAAGAAATTAAATCATTTTTAGGACTCATAGGCTATTACCGAAGATTTATAAAAAATTTCGCCAAATTGACTAAACCGCTAACATCATGCTTAAAAAAAGGAATGCAAATCAAACACACTCCTGAATTTATAGAAAGTTTTGAACTTTGTAAGAACATCCTAATGAATGATCCTATCTTACAATACCCAGATTTTAGCAAACCTTTTAATGTAACAACAGATGCTTCAAATTTCGCAATCGGAGCAGTACTATCTCAAGGACCAATAGGAAACGACTTACCTGTTGCTTTTGCATCTAGGACTTTGAATCCAGCGGAATGTCACTACAGTACCATAGAAAAAGAACTCTTAGCTATAGTATATGCTGTTAAATATTTCAGACCATACTTGTACGGCACAAAATTCAACATTATTTGTGACCATAAACCCTTACAATGGCTTTTCTCCTTAAAAGAACCTAATTCCAAACTAATAAGATGGAAACTTAAATTAGAGGAATACGACTACCAGATTATTTATAAGAAAGGCAAATTAAACACAAACGCAGATGCTCTCTCCAGAGTAGAAATTCATCCCATAGATACCGAAGATAACGACAAATTGTCCATTATAATGAACTTAGACCACAACGAATTTATTGATCTTGAAGAATCAACAAACGAAATGTCGAAACTTAGAGACTTAGATTCGAATGATATTATATTAAAACCTGCTCTTGATCACAACGATATACAAGATATTATAAATATTAATCCATACCAAAACATAACACAAGAATTTATTAACGAAATAATTGACAAAGAACTACCAGTACCAGAAGAAGATATTGTAGAATCCATAGAAGAAAATACCAAAAAAGATAAGAAAATAAAAATTCTTCAAAATATAGCAATACCAAATACAGAAGAGAAATCTGACGATTTAGAAACGGTGCATACTAGTCAAGAAGATCCCATATTAAATATACCGTATACAGAAAAGGCCATAAATATATACAAAAATCAAATAATAATAACTTCTGCAAATATATCGAAACCAAAATATACATACGAAAAAATATTCGA